TAAATGGATTTAAATAGGCGTATTTATGGCTCCTGTACTCCTGAAGAATGGGCTGAATATTGCTGGATGCCACAAGTTCGTACTAACGAAACTCCTGGAGAGTGGAAAGAACGAATTTGGACCCGTCTAACATATTTCAGAGAAAATGACCTCTTACCGAATCAGAGTAAAGAATATCTTGAAGCTAGGAAATTAATACAATTTCCGGATGGCAGTTCATATGCTCCTGAAATCGGAATAGCAATATGTTTCTCTTGTGATCGATTAGTATATACTGGACAAAGAACGAAGAATATGGGAAATTACAACCATATAGGAATGGAAAAACATTGGAAAATTTCATGTACCGGAAGTAAATACTGTGGTATAAATTACGAAAAGTATTCGGAAATTAAACACAAATCTAATTTTAAACGTAATTATGATGAGGAAATATGCATTAAATCGTTATGAGTTATGGAAATGTAATGCAACCAGAAGACTCAAACGCGCAAGGGAGATTGGTAAAAAGATTCAAGCGTGCATAAAGATACAAAGAAAAATCATGGAGTGGATTTACCACCCTGATGGATCCAATGCTCATAAACTCGCCTTACACTATGCATGTTTACAAAATATTAGAGCAGAAATGCGTCAGATGAGGCAGGTGTAACCACAGAGCTTCGAAAGCTCCGCTTATTAGTAACATAACTGTTTAGCGTAAAATCTTATTTGATCTACCCGCCATACGGTACCCAAAGGGCAGCTTACGTCGTCTCTATGTATCCACTTTCAAAGGTGAGTCCCAGCCCAAACGAATATAGAGCGGATCCTCTTTTGCTCTTGTTAAGTCAATCACGATGAACTGCCGACCGTGCAAATTCTTATCGATTATATCAACGGCATTACGCCATTTTTTTGTATATCGTCGGGCAATGTTAACTAGTTCATCATATGTCCCACTGCCATTAAAGAGAACAATGTAATCGAGATTTTTTCTTATTAGTTTTGGACAGTCGAAAAAGCTTTGTGTAGTATATATATTACTAATGTTTTTATGACGCCCTTCAGTAAAGTATCGAGCAATTTTTTCTTGTATTTTTTTAGGTTCGGTACACACATCTTCGAATATAGCAACTGTCCCTCTTTCAGGGGAGAAATCATCAACTTTTGGCATTTTATCAGGTTTCATTGCTCGGAATGTAACATCTTCACGATATGGTTTGTGGCTATTCGCAATTATTTTATAGCAATCTCGGAGATATTTATACTTGGGCTCATTAATTTGATGACCGATCAAAACCAAATCATCATTCTTAATGTATCTCGTTCCGCCTTTTTTCCCATTAAACAATCGATACATTTTATTCCCGAGTAAAAGGTTGATAACTTCGTTAGTTTTTCCTGATCTCGTTCGCCCGCTGACTAATAAGTTGAAAGGCCATTGAGGTGTACTATTAAGGCCGTTAAATCTCTCTATATTTTTGTATTCGTCAATATTCAAAACCATCCTTTCAACAGGGTCGAGCTTTTCCATTTTCATCTCGATCAAGCTGTCACTAATTATTATATCTGAAAAAATATTAATCGGACCAGATAAGTATTTAGAGTTTTACCTTTATCCACATCTAAGATGAGCACTTACAGAATGTAAATAACCTTTCTCAATTAAAATGTTTCGAATAAATTCATATAAATCAGCGGAGTAAGGGATTTCAATGAGATCTACACCTTGTTCCTTGCATATATTCCGCTTTTTTTGGTCGCGTGATCTTTGTGAATCTAAGTCTATCTTGCCTTGCTTGTGGAACATTGGATTCTCGGAAAAATGCTGGACCCCATTATATTCCCACGCCAATTTTAGTTCTTCATTATACCCGTCCAATTGCATCCCATTCAAAAATGACGGTTTACATGATGGGAATTTCTTACCTAACAGATCTTCGAAAATATATCTACAGCGTCTCTCATGGGTATGGTGAAAACAAACTGGACACCACTCGAATTTCCGCTTCTGGATCTTATAAGGTGCTTCCCATTGATGAAGTCCTTTTTCGCAAGACCAGAGATATATATCGAAATCATTTATTTGGCCTGTTTTACCAAGACATTTTCCGTTACGCTTCTTTGCATATTCTTCAGCCTTAGCCATTTTATTAATAATACGAACGAAATTAACAGACCTGGAACGAGTATTTTCTTCCAATATACACTGGGGCGGATACTGGAGCATATCTATATTTACGTGCATAAGCTCTTCTCTCACAAATCCACGCTTTGGAGCATATTCATCATCGTCATCTCCGAGATAATATAAAACTGGTTCATTCTTCGTTACAACAATTTTTCGGATTTTATGTAAAGAAGGTGAAAACGTCGGGTCCGTAGCCCTTTTCTGATTTTCCATACCTCCTTCCCACTCTGCATTCGCAAGTAGGTAACGAACACTATCCCCCTTTTTTAACTTATTCTCCTCATCCTTTCCAACAGGACGCTTATACTTTGTAGATGGCCTAGATTCAACTCGTTCTAATCGAATGGCTAGTTTGGGAGCTAAACCCCACTTTGTGGAACCCGGAGCTCGAATGAGACGAGTCGGATAATTATTAAGATAATCTATTACTTCTGGCAAATACTTGACCCATGCTCTTATTAATTTAGGATTTTTAGAAATTGATTCAACGGCATACTGGATTTTATAAAGCATCTCTGCTAACGTCTTACAGAATCTGTCTACAATTGCGAGTCCCCGATGACTATATGCACCAATTACTCGAATTGTGACATTATGCGCTTCCATTAATCGAGCAGTTTCGCCCATGAATTCTTTACCCTGGTCACATTGTAAAAGTGTCGGGTACGTAAGAGGGTTATTGGGGTTATTATAAATTTTTTTGAATGCTTTAGCAACCTCTGAACTATTCTTCGATGTGAGAGGGACACTCGCTTTGTACCTGCTAGCCACATCTATAATCTGTAATACTGCTTTCCATATCTTCCCCTTATATTTATCATGCGTAAGGAAAAGAATGTCGCACTGGTGTACACAATTTGGTTTTTGAATTTTTCCGTAACTTACCCGTGGAGTATTTTTCGGTGACGGGGCATACTTTTGCCATTCATTCTGATTATGCAACCATTCACCAACCTTTTTATACGGGAAATTATATCCTTCTTTTTTACATGCGTCTCTTAAAGCTTTTGCATTGGAATGATAGCCAGTGGAACGGTAAAAAAGCAGTTTACATATTAAGTTTAACTCCTCGTCTGGATCAATTCTAATAATAGGTTTGCTCAATTTACTCATTTTCGATATATTTTACTATATAGCAATAAACTATGTTTCAGCAAAGCCAAGAGATATGTCAATATAATATGCCGTAAAAAAATAGAGACAGAGTCTCATTACTTCGTAATAATCATGGCATTTCAAAGACCCCGACCCCCCAATCGAACAACTCATAGATCAGCTACGGATAAAGAACTCGAGCTAGAACAAATTAACCAGATTTTGAGAGATGAATTATCCACCGAAATTTCTCATAATAAAGCCAACGAAAAATGGATATCTCGGCTAGAACGTGATCTTATTAATTGCGAGAAAGAGATCTCTCGAAAAGATATTGCTCTTGTAGCATCTAATGAAGAAATTAAAGAGCTACAGACTGAAATTTCGTCTCTGAAAAAAGATCTTTATCAAACCCGAAAAGAGATCCGAGACAATAACAATTATACCGCTGACATAGAAAACAAGTTACAAGAATGTTATGAGATTATATCCAGTTTGAAACAGAGAATCAAAGTTATCTCATCCCGTGGAAATTCACCAGTTCGAAATAATTCACCTGATATATATTCACCCCCAGAAGATCCAGATATGGCGAATCTTGACCTTTTTATACAAATCGAACGAGGCTTAAATCGCATTAAAAATCACATCCAAGGTGGTGGTACTCCATTAAATAATCCTATCAATATTATAGAAGGTATTAGAGGTTCCTTAAATACTGTTCGGCATAATTATCAATCTGTATACCAGGATATAGATGGTGTTATAGCCCAATGAGATGATCGGAATAATCAAGTATTGCAGTTGCAACAAGATGTTAATTATTTTAGACAGCAAAATGCTAATCTCCAGAATCAAGTTAATCAGCTTTTTCAGGAGCGGGATACCTTACAAAATCATGTCAACCAACTTATACCAGAACGAGATACCTTGCAGAATCGCGTCAACCAACTTATACCAGAACGAGATACTTTGCAGAATCGTGTTAATCAACTTGCTTGAAATCTTAATAACAGCCAACAAGGATATAATTTACGAGGACGTTTGCATCAGGATGGTCTTTCATATATTGAAATGTACAGTCATCCCCCTCTTACCTCTACAGTCACCCCCTATATATAATATAAGCACAATTGGTTTACAGTCACACCTTTGTACAGAACCAAACTGATTTCATAGTAAATTTACCTCTATACAGTCCCAATTCGCTTATAGTCCCTATCACAGGACACAGCAGAACTGATAAATAGTAGATATATGGAAAATTACCTCCTTACAGTCACATTACATGAAGAAAAATTATGTGATAAAAATAAAAAAATAAATAATTGGAGAACACACATTCTTTACACAAAATTAAAACGTCTATAGCCTCTCCAAGAAACTCAAATCCTAATGCTTTACGGCACGAGATTTGCATTTACTCAAACAATAATAGCACAGCCACAAGGTACTGACATTGCATCTTATTTCAATAATAAATATAGGAATAGTATTAATATTGATCAGTCCACAGTTACAGTAAGCAAGATCTTCCATGAAGGATAGATGGATTGATCTTAATCTTGAAAGTCAAGAATGAGTGTTGTCAGGCAGCGTAATGTTAAATTTCCATTCCTAGAAAAGATTATGCCTCCTCTACAGTGACACCTTCCTTGCAGTCACAGGTTTCATGAGAACTGTGACTGTAGAGGGGGACGACAGTGTATTCTCCAGTTGGTTCTTCCATGTTGTTAGTGGTATGAGAGGAAAAAGAACGTGGCTGCGCGCGTTTATATCTTGCTGCGTATCACGTTGTGGAACAATTGCAAGCATCAAATCAGATTGTCCCTGTGATTGATGCTTAGTATGTATTTACTGCGTGTGATCATTCCTGCCTACGATTCTTGTGCCAAATTAGTTGATTAAATTTAGTATTTCGTCGTATGATTAGTACGAATACCTACATTCTTTGTCGATAATTTTCACGAATGTTAATTGAAGGGTGGTGAACAAAATCAGCGCTATCAGTGCTGGGTGGATTTTTCATGATTTTGATAATATATTGAATGTAAGAGAATATTTCACGAGCACATTCTATTGATGTATCGGACGTGGCAATAAAAAGTTTTCGGCGTCGTTGTTGTCGGCATTGTCATTAGCCGTTACTGTTGTTGTGGCTGCTGTTGCTGATGTTGTTGCGGTTGTTGATGTTGTCGATGCTAGTGGAGGATGTTGCTGTGTGAATATATCTCGGCGCAGTTCTCTCACTGAGAGTGATGTTATCATTCAGTTCGAGAGGAGGAGGGGAAGAAATGACGGAAGGGGTGTTTAGCATCTGGATGGTCTTTTGTGTATTCGGTAGCAAACTCATCATATGCTTCTAGGTCAATGTTGTCCATGTTGCGAAGAAAAAAGAAAAGCTGCGCGACGTGATCTAATACCGTAAATATACTAACGCTGATCAATGGCTTAATCAATGACCTAATTGTTTCCATTGTATGCAAAGTGACCAATGATAATTGATGCGCAGTAATTTTAATGACGTAACTCAAGAAAGGTTCACTATAAAAAATGACTGAAATTGAGCAACTTTACGAAAAAGCTGCTTTTACAAAATCTGTCCAACAGACTTCATCATTTTAAAATGTTTGCTCTCACAAGCGAATTTATTCTCGGATTATTGATTGGAAGGGGCAATTTTTTCTCCTTGTACTTGAGCTTTCTTTAGAATGCTTCTAATAGTGCTGTAATTCTTTGGTTCCATAGTGGACTTAATGTAAATTAGTTTTATATTAATATTTTTATATACAGTGGTAATCCTATATTAATCCTGTTTATGTTATTATTATGGTTTACATTCATCACATTCTGGTATGATAAAGGGAACATTAAAATTCAAGTCCATAAGTTATGAACAAGCACCATTATTACTTTATACTTTTCAAAACGTCATCAGTCATACTAATACTGGTCAATTTTACTATTTACAGCCACATTGTAATCAACCTCTCATTTATAAAATGTTCACTTTGTCTGGTTTTGTTGCAGTCTGCCCCATTTAACCTCTTGGTCAGTTTTTTGACCACTATGCTCTTTTTTTTTTCTTTTTGGAGGTGGCATTTTCTGCTACTTTCTTTTTTTGCAGTGGAGGGTTTACTTGTTTCTCCAGTTTTCTTTTCTATGGCTAAGAAAGTGCAAGGTTAAGGTTAGATGTAAACCTTTTAAATTAATGAAAATGCTTCATTAAATTGTTTTTTAACAACCTTATGGCCATCTAATACTAAAAGGACAGATTTGGTTGAAAGTTCATAGTTATAGGAAACTAATTTTCTGTCAATAACTGTTTGAGCCGCATTTGCTATTTACTGCTGACAGGTTACCAACTGTATGTGAACATTTCTTTGTTCACATCACTTTGCTATAGGACTTCATTGTGCACAGTTACTTAATATTCCCTATGGTGCAGAACGTCTATACTCGACAATCACGTGACCCGAAATATTAGGCATCTTTAAACTCTTTCAACTTTTTACACAGATATTATTTTTAAAATCTGATCAGTACTTTTGTTCTTCACAGTAAGCTCTACAAAGTTACCGGTCAGAATTTAAAAATAATATCTGTGTAAAAAGTTATAGGGTTTTGAAGTTCATGAGTTTGATCGAAACAAAAAAATTTTGCTTATCATATTACGATACGATATTATTGGTCAATTAAATTTGAAACAAATCACGTGATTGTCGAGTATAGACCATATTATAATTAATGAATTTTTGCTCCGGTCCCGTCACATGACCAACAAAATTTTGATGGCGCGACTGTATGGAACGCGTTAATTAACTCCGCAACATAGCAATTGCTACAATCTCACGGAGAGAATATTATCTTTTTGCTACAATGCAAGCCGACACAAGCGAGCCTGGGTTTGGATATTTTTTGAATACGCCTTGTCAAGCTTGGGATGCCGTTCGGTACCATGAAGCGTGGGAGGACAACAAGTTGGGTTTAGACAAGGCGACTCTAACAAGATGTTTTCAAAAACAAATACAAATTATTAAATCACAAGGAACAGAAGAGGAAAAGGAAAATGCGACACGACTTGAAAAACAATTTAAGGTCGGCATCATTTTCGTAAGCTATAATAACTGTAGATTAGTAGCCACATTCAGTAGCCCCCCACTTTTGTCTCCGTATTTCGCTTCTCCAATACTACAGCTACCCATGGAACTGCGTCTTCGCATGGTTATGGACTGCGTCTCCGCTATAGCCAGCTTGTGGCTTGCTAATTTGCAGGCTTTTTTTTAAAAAAAAAACCCCTTATTTTATTTTTGTAAGGTTGAATCTAAGCAAACAAGACTAATCGATAATATCATATATGATTTTATTTTCATAAGGCTGAATCTAAGAAAGCAGGACTAATCGATAATTTTTGGTCGAAGCGTCGCAATCTTATGAAGCATGAGAGTATGATGGTTAACAGCACATTTGTATCTTGTGACGGAGTACAGATCGGTTGTATTGGTAATAATCAGGGACAGAAACGATCTTACGAAAATCGCGAACAATCAACCGAAAGGAGAAAAAAACAAAAGCCTGTATGTACAGTATCCTTGACTATAAGTTAAATGTCTTCCTAGATTTGTTATACACAACATAACCTTTTGAGTTATAGATCAAAACTACTATTGGAGATGGCGAGAGGCGGACTTCAGAACGAGAAATACATACATCAGAACAAAGCGTAGAAGATGAATCAGCTGAGAAAGTTCCAACCTTCACAATCCCACTCCCTCTCCACTTTATAGTAGCAGGGATAATTCTTTTGATGATCACAACGAAGAACCAACTGATGGATCAATTGAAACATCGCCAGTAATGCTTTTTTCATTTGTATTTATATTATGTAGTGTAGAAATTCGTTTCTAATTACATCTCTCTTATAGTCAAATGACCACTATGAATCTGATGCAGGGATTGTACGTGACGGTGACAATAATCCTTTTATAGCGCAGACAGGAAAAGATTCAACGAAATATAAGGTTAATGTTAATCGATAATAACTAAAATAATTAACATGACTTTGACATTGGCTAACTTGGTCCATATTATTCTGTTATTCAAGATTGTTTTGTCATGGAGTCACGCGATTGATAACGTTGCTATAAATAATGTCTCTGAGAATGACGTAAGCATGGAGAAAGATCGTTTGTGGTATTTTACCCTGATATATTCTGATTCTGTTTTCTTTATATAGTGGTTAACACAGGATGGATACAACATCTCTACCGACTTTCGTAAGTTTCAAGAAGAATCTATTAAAAAATTGGAAATTAATCCGACTCTATCATATGCGAAAGAAATTGATACGATACTGTATGTAATTTTATGCAAACTTACAAAATTTTGGTTATAATATATAATATTTAACTTTGTATATACTTCAGGTGTCTATCATCGATTATGTATTGCAATGAACTTAAACCAGAATATCTTGGATGTTCTGGGAAGACATGGAATGAAGCTCGTCCAAGACCCTTAACTCCAAAAGAGTTGCCGACGGTTGCCGACTTAGTAATTATCGAATACAGCAGGGTAAATATCTTCCTTGATATTATTATACGCACTAGCAACCACATTAATTTGTCTATTTGACGTGTCTAGCTTTTGAATGACAAACAATCACTCAATACAAAGTGGCGTAACAATTGGGCAAAAGGGAATACATTAACAGACGAAGACAAAGGCATCTTTGATTGTGTGCAGATAGTTTCGAGAAATTTGTAAGTTCTAAATTCATAAGATGTTGTTAATGGTATTATAATACTCATTTTTTTTTGCCACAGTTTTACCTATTTGTCTTCCGTGAGTTATAATGAGAACAAAAAAATTGGACGAAGATACGTTCATCCATCGATATTGTCATCAAATTCTAGAAGAAATATTCAATCAAACTGAACTATCATTAGTTTGGTAAGTTTCATGCAATCATTACATTATACTAGATATATGCGCTTAATTTTATTATTGAAATAAAGGGCTAATGGAGAATCCGAAAGTTCCAAAGAGAGACGTTTATTGGATGGTCATAACCATGGTAGAAAGCCAGACTTCCGGATCCTCTCAAAGATTGATGACACTGAGAGAGAGTTCGTATTCGGTGAGATAAAGCCGCATTCCCCTAATACCATAAATAAGACTATCGTTAAGTTAGCAGAATTCATGAAAGAGTCCTTGGATTTTATTATCGATATTCACGGTTATGTTGCAGGCCTGGAAATGTATGGTATATTAATTTGTGGTAAGTCATCTCTACTATAACTTTGCTGGTGTTTGATTGCCAAACTAATAGAATTAAAACTAAAACCAATAGGAAGCGAAATTAAAATTTTTAGTATCGATTTGGTATATGACGGCCTGTACCGCTGTAATCTATTATCGAAAGTATTGTTCCCGACGGAAAGTGCGAATTTTTTAAACATTATCACTGTAGTATCTACCTTATATTCATTATTGGTAAGAATCTTGCTTCATAATCTTCAAACAAGTTTGTTCGCAGTCTGGTCTAATTATTTTTACTTATGTAGGAAAGGGCAAGATTTACTATTGATATTATGAATTCAGCTCAATTAACAACTGAATCATCCTCCCCGCGTCACTCATATTGTCGAAATTCAAATTCATCGCCTAAAAAAATACGTGTACCGGTAGTTAGAGTTAATTAAGTGGTGCATAAAAACTCATGTTGGGTCAAACAGTAATGTGATGGTCTTATGTCATCAATGTTGATATATGTACAGCATATTAAATAAAACCATTATAATGCTGTCGTGATACTATACGTGTGGGAGCATTCTGTAATAGCGTCTTCCTACTAATGCTACCTTTAAAAGCAGGCTTTGAATACCTACGATGCTATCGTATAGTACACACTTTTTGCTGACTTCTCACGCGATGTTGATCCGAAGGAAATCTACTGTTCGGGAAAGAATTATAATACGACTGTGTAAACGCGTTTATAGACAATTAAATAGACCGATGACTATGCAGACTTAGTAGCAAGCTCAAGTCTACAACTAAAAGTCCAGAAAAGCGGTTTAATGCTCAAACTCCTAATATTAATCAGATGTATACAGTATCAATTAATATTACAGGAATAATAAATGAACAACGATTAGATTAAATCACCAGTCAAACATTTTACTAGAATATAGAGAACTATTCTAAAGGAAGTTTGTTATTCGAATTGTAAAAATTAAATGAAATCGTAAGATCAAGCAATTAAGGACGTGCTGAAGATATTATGATAGTATGATGGATATGATGTTTTTATGAAGGAAATTCGCGGTGTTTAAATATTTTCTATGCGTTCACTGAATTATGTAAATCGTTGCCTATATCTAATATCGGGATTACAAAATAGCTGTTATAACTACGGCTGATTTGGTATTCTTCTGCGCCATGAGTTGCATACGTTGTCTCAAAAGGAAACAGTTGACCTCCCATATAGTCACCCCCATAAGTCACAGGTTTTATCTGGTCCCAACTGCGTGACTGTAGGGGAGGTCGACTGTAATAACAAAAGAGCAGCTAATTATAATTTTGCTTATGCTTCTCGTTTTCGCTGTTTATCATAAGGTTAATGTTCGTTTATTAATTTTATTTTTCTCTTCTTGGTAAATTTCATAAGTATTTTTTTCTTTATCTAGATATTTTTGATATCAATCGATTTTAAAAATGTATGGAGCAGTTTTTTCTCCTTATTATTTTTTTAAACATTTCTAATAAATGTCGTAGTTTTGTGGATTTGATGTAAATTAGTTTCATATTTATATTTTTATATAGAGATAGGCCTATTACTATATGGAATATATTACTGTTATAAAAACAACTGCAAGTAAAACTTTCATTTCAATTAAGTTTACATTTTTAATGCAGATTCAAAATGCCACTAAAATTTCAGATGTGGGCCACAACAGTGCCCTGACATTTAAAAAAATCGGTCATTCTATTCAATTTCAACAACACTAATTATATAATGTGTTTGAAAAAAAGGTAATTAGTGCTGGTAACAAAGTATTGAATATTTGCAGGTATTCTACTGACCGAAATCACGCGCTAAGCAGCTTTGGCAAATACAATTGGTATTGAATTTGTAGCGATAGCTATTTCCGTAATAACACCTATTTGTTCCAATCTGAAATGACGACTTATGTAAACTGTTCAAAACACGGACCTACGAATAACAATGCAATTTGACACCAAATGGATTGGAACCAGCATATACTGTACGTACATAATTTTTGGATGTGGTGTAATAGGCTTTTAATGTGCTTATCGTGTGTTGTCCTGATTAGATATAGATGCTGAATACTTTAGTAACAAAATTAAGCCTTATTATTATTTGTACTGTAACACTATCGAAAAAGAATACCATATTAAATAAATTTAGAGTTCCAACATTTCAAATGAGCCTTTTTACATTGTATATAAGCAGATGTAATTTCTCTAACCAAATTTCATGAACCTCGCGTCCTTGGTTCTTCTACAATTTTTTTCTTTTATTATTGCACACAAGTAGCTCTTTGAGAACCAGGGGATGTACTACTCTTGTTCTGATGGTTGCATCGCTAAAGTCCACACATCATTTATTGCAAATGTGCGTATCAGAATGTACCATTGCCGTGGTAAATTGTTTTAAGTGATGCTTTTATAAAAAATAATTCCGTCCCATCAAACATTCAGCAACACGTCTCGAATATCTTGAAAAATGTACTGCCTTTTACCGTATCGACTAAAGTACAACATACTTCGCCCACACGGACGGATACTGTGATTTTGGGAAAAACGTACTGAATCTTATGAGGAACGTATTTAATAGTGGGTTGCATTCGTCCAATATTCGAGCTTATTGGCCTTGATGATGCATTACTTTCGCGCGACAATTACAAAAAATCGCATGTAATGGAAGAGGACTATGTTTAGAAAACCATTTCCTGCTATCTCCATTAAGGTTAAGATGCTTGTTACGTTGTTATCACTTTAATAAAAAATATTCCCGCCTAATACACAGGCCAACAATTTATTAAGAATAATTATTTAAATAAAAGTGAAGAAACCAGCTAGTCAGTTAGCTCAGTCAGACACAACATTCTCTGGATTTCTAGAATCTATGCGTGTTTTCCATCATGGTGTAAATGCTTTATCCATTTTTCAATACCAATAGCTTGATATTGCGAACGAGGTGAGGTAAATAAATGGTATACGTGATGCCCGCCCTTTACACATATAAATAACAGTTAGGTCATGATAACAATCGTAATTATAAAAAGTGCCATGTGACGTACCGGGATTTGGACAAACTGAATCTCCGATTTTGACACTAAAACAAGTAAAATTTCTAGTTAGAAACGTTTTTTATTACTCAATCATCCATTTCATCCATTTCGCGTGCGTTGTATCCTACCCTTCCTGAACTGCTCGATAAAATTTCTTGATAATTGGAACGGAACTAGATTATCGCGATCCCCACTATATCCGAGTAAATCATAAAATGCGCGTTAAATAATTTTCATGGTAGGATCAATATCGATCATAGCAAACAAACTTACTGGAATACTAGAAATGGTACCGAATCGGGTTTTATATTATGTATCGGCGAATGCAGCTTTAAAAAGTCCTCATTGCTCTTATCCAATTTGGCAATGTCTTTTGCAAAATGTTCGGGAAAGTTTGTGTTCCAGACCATTGTCTCATTAGTAACATCCGTTATAGCGTTAATTAGAACAGATGCCTGTACACTCGTGTCTACCAATTCGAAACCAGGCTGATACTCTGCATTATTTGGTGTCAGAGCAACAAGCGCAGCGAGATGACCACCAGCACCGTCACCTTTTAAATATCATAACATCACATCATAGTATCAGTCAAATATTACTTGAAACGTGATATAAACAACAAATGAGTATACAAACCACCGACTATGATAAAGTTAGGATCTCCTCCGAAGTTTTTGATGCTTTTCTTTACCCATCGTAAGGCACGTTTTGCATCAATCAGCTGTGCTGGATACGGAGCAACCGAAGCAAGACGGTAGTTTATCGCAACGACGACCTGAGAGAGTTTCATCGTGGTTCAGTCAGGTGATGTTCAAATAACCTGCAGATTTACTGAAAATGAAAACTGCTTACAAGACCAGATTCGGCTAAATGGCGGATCAATGGATACGGCGATGTTTTGTCACCTCTTATCCATCCGCCTCCATGAATGAATAACTGATTGGAAATCAATTTTAGTATTGTAGTAAAACCCGTGATACAAGCAGACTAATGCATAAATACTCACAAAAACGGGCTTCAAGGTTGCCGAAGTATCTCTACGAGTGTAAATGTCGAGTGACAAGAATTGCTTTTCATCGACGTCCTCCCTTTGTTCGGCTAACTCTTGATCAGTACAATATACAACTGTGAATAGCAAAAAGTTTAATCAATCCGTTATTAATACCCTTGCCATCCAAAAAGGTAAAGATTCCTAAACGTACTTACTATCGGCGTAAAGTATTACGTCTTTTGGAATATATAACGGATTGACAAGCTGATTCCAAAAAGTATCGCTAAAAATTAACGAAAATTTTAATTTAGCTTCAAGCCAGCAAGCTCATTAGCAAAAAAAAATTTTTTTTTACCTAGTAAGAATTGGTAATTCTACTTCATCACAGTAGTCCTTTATCGCCTCGTGTATGGTCAGCCTTGCTTCATATCCTGATACGACCAAAAACCATGTTACAGCAACAGGGCATGTCATTCTTGAGAGAATTTCACCACACATGCTAATGCCTACCATCTAAGAAGATGACGACGAGACCAATCATCGTCAAGATGTCTAATACAAAAAAAGCCTGAGATAACCAAGTCCCTACCAATAGGCAGCAAGATGAGTAAGCAAGTGATGTTTCCCAACAAGAAGACAATATCTATCCACTCTAAACGACCTGGCGTTTGTACTTACTAAAAACTCCACAGAAAGAGGCAAGCACTTTAATGCCTATCTTAAACAAGATAAACAGCAAAGGCCACTCTGAAACCCAAGAATATGCATATACGGTAATGTACTGCAATCGTCGTGCAGTTGGCAGGGTGCCCTCAACGGAGGCAAAAGCCAATCCGCCAATTACGAATACGCTAATGTAATCTTGAGAAATTAGGTAAGTGGCGAGCTTTAAAAGAAAGAAAGAGTGAACTAGTATACTCACAGAACAGCGCAATACTTAAAGCTAGCATTATCGAGTGTCAAAGAGAAGAAAGAAAATTTTCAAAGAAATCTACGAATCTGCATCAAGATCATAGTATTCGAAACACACCTTTTAAGTATTAAATGATCTGCCTCGAACGTGTGAATCGATTTCTTTTAAACAAGTGCAAGATTTTCGAAATTCCACGTGTACTTCTCGAAGCTCAACGCAAGCACCTGATGTTGACATATAAGGAACGACATTATTTGACGAATAAACAAAACTTTATTTTGTGTGGGTAATTGACGAGCTTGGTTAGGTTGCGCAGTCGATTTATTGTCATTATTGTTACTATTATTATAGAGGCATTAAAATCTCAATCTCGCAATCTACCGCTGACGCGCGCAGTGTCTATAAAAACTCTTTTTAAAATACGTTTAATACTAATTATTGTATTTTTTATCTGCCCCGTTTGCCGCAACAGTATAATTAACTGTGCTTCGTTAATCCTACACGCTATTGGTTGCATGGAGTATTAAACATGACTAATAGCATTTCTGACCCATTTCGACATTTCGAACCCCCTTTAATCAATAGGGCGAGTAAAGCCACAATCATATTGGGGATTTGCAAAGACGCAGCATCTCTTTAATCCATATCTTTTTATTATTCGGCATCAATCACCTCCACTTTTGACTCAACCTCACAGTGTTACGTAATGCACACACCGTTTCTTTATGTTTCACGACCTCGCAGAAAATACTTACAAAACCCTTGAATCGTATCATATGATTGCATTCTCTTCGCATTGTTTTTTTTTCTCGCTTGCGTAGGTGGCATACACTCTCACTTCATCTCCACCAAAGAAAAAACATTGCCACATAATGGGTGACGACTTTGAACTCTCTTTTGAGGATCAATTTGAAGACCACGCTGTCGACTCTGACACTCCATCCCGGTCAAATTCCCTCAAACTCAAAAAAGGGAATACTGACAGTCAACGCAGAAGAGAAAAGCGACGGTCGAAGGTAAGGAAAAACTAAACCTCGGATGGGGTCCTTGGTGCATTCCTAATTTTCATATGGCATGTAGTGCTTATTATACGATCACGTCATTCTGCTTTAACTTATTTCCGAGCAGCTTTGGTATGAGAAGACGTCTCAACCAGCAAGTGACAGCGAGGCCAGTACAGGTGCTCAAGAAACGATTCCAACAGCGATTGTCATTAAAAACATTCCCTTTTCCATAAAGCGAGACGCGCTTCTTGCTATCCTCGTAAGTTTCTTTGTCAAATATTCTATCTCCGTTCCATGTTTCCTCCTCGAAATTATCTTGAGATAATCTTCATGTTGAAAATCGATTATTAGAATAATCTCGATATCCCAAGACCTTATGCATTCAATTATCACTTCGATAATGGTGTATTTAGAGGTTTGGCCTTTGCAAACTACCGAACTCCTGAAGAAACAGATCTTGTAGTGTCGGCACTGAACGGCTACGAGGTTGCCGGTAGGAAACTCAGAGTAGAGTACAAACGTGTTCTGCCTGCTGCAGAGAGAGAGGCGAAAGAGAGAGAAAAGGCAGAGAAAGCAAAGGCAGAAAAAGAAAAGGCAGAACAGGATGTACGAGAAAAAGACAAAATCGTAAAAGAAAACGCTAATCTTAAACCGGAAAAAATGGAAAATGGAAAACTAGACAAGACATTGGCTGATAGGAAAAGTCCAGGTATGAATAAGAAATTGGTCGTTTAATCTTTTACCATATAGGCACTTATTACATTGACTATTCATCAGAGCCCACAAATCTCGACCTTAATGATCCCGAGACGCTCAAATTCTATGACCAAGTTATTATTTTCCGTGACGACAAAAGCCGTGAAGAACTGGCCTTTTCCAAGACGTTAACGCCTTCTCAGCGACGCACAGTACATTTGATTGCTCAGAAACTTGGGCTGTTCGATTACAGCGAGGGTGATGGTGATGAGAAAGTGCTGAGGATAGTGCGCAAACCCGCTTCAGCCGCTATTAATATCAAGGTACCTTTCAGTCGTTTTCTTCCATTGATAACGAGACATGTGGTTGATATGATGGCTGATACTTGAATATTTTAATAACTTATCTGGCACCCCTGTTTCTTTGTTGTTTATAAACGTTCAGCAGACACCCTCTCGTAATGGATCTTACGGCAGACGAGCAGCAGCACAATTGTTTGCAAACGCTACAGGCATGTCAGAAAGTCCTTCCAATAGAACACTGAGAGGTGGCGAAGCGTCGCCGTTATCGCGATCGCCTTTCAGAAGATCTTGGATGTAAGTTGACTTTGCCAATGTGTTATGCAATGTCGCTTCATGGCTGCGCATGTTTACTAATAATATCTTCCTTTTTTGTGAACTTAGCGCCGACGGTACGCCGATTGTTTTCCCAATTCGGCAACCTCGGGGACCCGATCCAACACAGAATTTTGCTTTTCGTCCGTCTCGGTTGCACACATCTTCGATTGCATTTGGAGTAGTCGACGATTCTGATGCAGCGTCCGATTATTCCGAACATAGAAGATCGGGCCTTTTTGATGTTCACGCACCTACATTTCAATCGATTGTTTCGTAGTGTGTCTGCCCTCTCTTGGGGAATCCACCTTTAATATAGAACATTCGCATTGGCAATATGGTTATGGTGCATCATTTAACGACTATTGATGATCTGGTGTCTGTTCATTATTTTTTTTTTCAAGAAAAAAGAAATTTTGGCAACCTTTATTATTATTTTATTATTCGACATAGCTTCCGTATCTTTCCCCTCTCCTGCCATACTAGAATCTAAAATACTTACTGATCATTGTTTTCGCATATTCCATCATGCCCGTTTTTTTCGGGTAACTAAATATTCTAAAATTGTAAACGCCCCCCAGATGTAACTTGTAGTTTAACTGAAAATCTTTAAAAAAACATCCTATAGACGCATCCTTTCTCACAAAGAATGCTTTAGTGGCATCAGATGATATTATTAGGTGAAGCCATTGTGTTAAACAATAAATCCACTACAATAGAACTATACAATTGTTTCTTTGTTAAGAGCGCCACAGTGTTGTGCCTCATTTATCATATGACTTCGTGGCACGATAGTGGCTTGCGCATACTTAAAGTAGAAAATCGTTTCTGTCCACAAAGCTCGCTTTCTCCGCTAATTGTTCTTCATATGGCGTCTACTGAAGCACAAGTTGCAACTTTGCTAACCATTGCCTCAGATGCCCACGCACAACCGAAGCAACGCTTGGAAGCGCTTAATGCCTTTGAGCAATTGGTAGAAGGACGAGGCGACCTCGTTGAACATCAGACTACTGTAGCTCTGAGTTTTGTTAGCGTCCCCAACCCTGACATACAAAAGTGGGCTGTCGGATTTATAGAGTATATGGTCGCCAGATCGCCCATAAATTGGGAACAGAGAGAGTCACGTATCCTTTGTTGTGTAAATAGTTAGTGAACACTGTGTAGCGTATTGAACCCGATTCGTCTGAGAGCAGATCTGTACAGATTGTCAAACCGTTTCCCGATAATACGTCAGATATATGCTAGTATTACTTCCTCTATGCGGTGCTTGAGGATTAAACGGTTTACTGACGACAAGTGGTATACAACATTTTTGAGCGGTTTCGGTCTGGAAAGGTGGTCATTGAACGAGAACGGATTATATATAGGGAATTAGTAACAACTATTTTAGACGTATTTTAATTTAACAATTGCAATGCCTAGAGAGACTAGTAGGCATAAGAATATTATCGATGTAGTTTTTTTGATGAGTTTAGTTTCAGCTTTTATCGAGTTCTAGCTGCTAATACAGAAGAGCAACTCTTTCATCCTTAACCCATTATTCACCTGTAACATTTCAAATAGTCTTATTAGATGCTATACCGTTACTGGCTAACATAATAATAAACTGTAGGTCAGTTCCAGTATTAAAACAGACGATACAATGCATCGCCAGCATATTCCCATATCTGTTCAGAAAAATGTGAGTTTGCGTAGTCTCTGCCGTCTATCAAGCTGAATAATCGAATTGAACGAAAAAGAAAAAAAAACTCCCTTATTGCATACGAATCTCTAACTTGTGTTTCTATATTTTGTAGATGTCGATCTGGTATCGATGCAGTCCAACATTGGGATACTATGAAAAAGATAAAGGAAAAGATAACATCTTTTTTAGAAATGCCTGACACGAATTATGGCATAAAGACTCGCGTTGTCAAGTTTTTACAAACTATCGTCATTGTTCAGTCGCGGCATGTCAAAGATTCGATGGTTGGTTCAAATATCGAAATACATGTATGTCAATTTTCTAATCCCACGCCACGAAATTTATCTTAAGTGTTGTTTTCCGTAATTTAGACAAAGCGATACGAGGATATCTCTCTATCTCTCTGTCCTCCATCGCACCCGTTCTTGGACCCAACAGAGCTAGAACAAGAAGCAATATCCATCCTGAATGCACTGATGATGCTTTTACGCAGAGAGTATGTCGTGTATGCAATATTGATTGGTTTGGGGGAAAAAATTGGGGAAACACTTACCTATTTGACCGTTCATAACAGATCAAGTAGCACAATCACTGCGATCGTGAATGCAATGGGTCCTTTATTACGCACGCGACCTCAGTATATTCAATCTATCGCAAATGCCTTCGCAACATGGAATAATGTTCCTTCTGATCATCTTACAGATGACCAAATAAGGAGCATTCTAAAATGTATGCGGATACAATTGATATCCTTCTTAAGGTAAGCCAGATTCCAATCTATTGAGAAACTTGCGACTTTAAGATTTGGCTAATGAGAGATGCATTAATCACTGTTTACAACAAAGGGCTTTCCCCTACTCGACATTCGCTTTCGTTTTCGATATTTTACTGGAACTAGGTGGGAGGCAGGAGATTACTATTATACCAAAACAATTTAGAACACTCTTGGCGCAGCGAGATTCCATCGAAGAAGTTTCACGTAATAATCTAAAGCGAACTGGGGTTTACAATGGCGAATCATCAAAGAGGCCAAGACTCGATGAAAACAACGGTATAGGATCAAGCGCTGCCGACGCTCTTTGTAAGTAACTGTTTACATCCCTTAGTTTCTATTTTATTATCAGAAACAATTACCTAAAGATTAATTTTATATTAGCACAATTCGACGTTACGCAGTTTCCGTTGCTTCTTGTCGTAGAGGTTATACTAGTGACATTGCAGAACATATCACTTGATAGGCTTAGGCAAGCTATAATGGTATGTTTATAAGCTAACACTCTTTTAGTCAACATTTTCACGTCCCTTAATGTCTAAACTATATATTGACTTTCGGCAGCTTCCAACGACAGCTCCCTCACGCATACAGTCACAAGTTAACACGAAACGTCAAGCTCCAAGGCGCGATGCGCGACTCCGAGATCCACGTTTACGAGCGTCGCGTGTTGATTCGTTGTCATCCGCCTCTGCCGAAGTTGACAACCTCACCGTCAAGATTGAGCCAATGGATACAGAGGATTTAAAACAATCGTTTATTGAACAGGAAACTCCTGATCAGCAAAATAATGCAGTAGCTATCGAGTCTAAAATCCAACATAGTGATGAGCCGATACCATCGAGTATGTCGCCTGGTGAATCGGAATCTCAGCCAAGCACTCCAGAACGGCCAATGCTGACATTTAGAATCCAACCTTTTACACTTCCTCAACCCGTTTCACTCGTACCTTCTCAATGTCGTTCGCTGATGCGCATGCGGCTATCAAAGATATTCGATGCAGAAGAAGTTCTTTCGGATAAAATGGAAGATGCGCAATCGGGTTCTTCCGCTCCAATCGTCGGTTATAGTATGACCAAATCTCAGTGGATGATAATTGTCTCTAGGTTGCTTACCCGGGGCCTCAGCACTGATTGGGAATATAGCTGGCGGTTACGAGAAATGGATAATGAGCGCGATGTTAAGATGAGCGATAGTAGTGAGGCAAATGAAGAGCGTGAGGGAAGTGAGACAAATAATGACGAGGAGGATAAAGAGACGATTAAGAACATTGAGGAGGAAAAGGAAAATTCGGAGAATGTCGAAGATGTCGAAGGTGTGGAAAATATGGACAATGTGGAAACCGTGGAAAACGTGGAAAACGTGGAAAACGTGGAAAACGTGGAAAATCCGGAAAATGCGAAAACTACAGAGGATATAGAGAACTTGAGGAACGAGGATAATGAGAAGAGTGAAGAGAGTACGCTTAAGGATGATTCAATGAGTATTGTCGAAAAGAAAGAGCCCGAATGTATTTATACTTCTCGGGATGATGAGCCCAATGACGCGGCGATGATCGAGGAGGAAAATGTGGAGCGCGAAATGCGTTCCAATGAGTTAAGAGAGATTATGGTGAGATATATACTAGAAAATTTCGAAGAAAGGTGAGCAATAGTTAACGGATATTAGTGATTTTGTCTAGCGTTTAGTAAATTAATGCATGCATGACTGTTGTTATAGGATGGAACTAGCGTTAACATGGCTGTATGAAGAATGGTATCATGACGAGATTATGCGGCAAGCCATACCCAACTACGTAAGACATCTTTGAATCGTCCCAACTTTTTGGTGAACGTTTACATTACTTTTACTAACATTATTATTTGTAGAGTCCTAATTATCCAATATGGTTCCGACGCTTGTTGGATAGTGTTATGCCCTTGTTAGAGCGCAAAGATAAAGCGTTTACGAAATTTTTACTAGATGCACCAGAACTGCTTGAAGATATTGTTGATAGAATAAAAATATATTGCAATGACCCTGACAGGTAACATCGATGACTTGTACTCGTTACTTTTAATCGGTTAGTTGAAACCATTTGTTTTCTCGATTAAAGAATGCAACTAGGTTTCTCGACACTTCAAGACCTGATAAACTTGCGCCCGCCCACGAGGTCATTCTGCCTGAAAATACTATTGCTTTATTGCATACATAATGGTAATAAAAGAGTTTTCTTTGTGTTTTCGCATAAGGTTGCATGAACCCATGACTGACTTTCCTTCTTATTTACCCCTAACAGATAAGATAACAAGATCGTCTGCCATAATAACAGTGAAAAGATGGGTGCCGGACCATCCCCAAGTAGCTAGTGAAGTCGAAGCGTTTGCAAAAGAGTCTCTTAACGCTCTTCGCAACGAAAGTTCACCACAATTATATGACTATCATTATCATGCCGGTAACCAGGCAACTAACGTAGAGGTGACAATAGAAGGTGAAGAGTCGGCGAAAAGGCCTGAGGATGTAAAATGGACAGATGCAGATGCACTTAGACATATGGAATTGTTCTTTGGCCTCTGCTCTAAAAAGCACGAATTGTTGACTGAGTATGTTATCTGTGAATTATAGACTGTAATAATGCGTGTGTTATTGTTGTTTTTATTTGATTTTGTTGACGCATGTTTTTCATCTACTTAACCAGGCTTTTCTCAGTTTATACGGACGCCGCACCAAAAATTCAGAAGATCATACTCAAGAACATCCAACCATTGATTAAATATATTGGAATGAACTCACCTAAATTACTTAATATAATCAAAAACTTCCCACAGGGTAGTGAGACTTTGGTGTTGCGAATATTAATCATCCTCACTGACTCTACGCGTCCAACAAGTAGACTAGTTAGTATAGTGAAGACGTTATTTATGCAGAAAAGATTAGATGCAAGGTGTCTTATTCCAATAATATCGGGTCTTGAGAAGGTAGTATGGTTGAGATGTAGTAACAAGCCTTTTCTGATTTTACTCCTCCCAAACCTGTTCTAACAATCCCGTTCATATAGGATGAGATTCTTCGCAACCTTCCTAAGATGCTTGAGCTATTGGTAAATACGGAAAAAGAGCATAAGCCAGTCAAAGAATTGTTTTCTCGTATATTGTCGGCACCCCCAACAAATGCATCCAATGCACCGTCGAACGCGACCAAGCCGTCGATATCAACATCAAATGCACATGCAACGTCCGCTCCGTTGACGCCGCAAGAGTTACTTGTTGCCCTTCATCAAATGGAGGACAGTGTAGAGCTTAAGAAATCTCGCGAAGGTAGGCTATCGAACGTGGAGTGGGGAACAGTTAATTATTGCGATTTTCTTATACAACTTCCTATTTATGCATTACAGCCATAAGAATTTGTTTCTCAATGACAAATATATTTACAGAGAAGACAATAGCAGGTTCACTACAGCAAATGGCGGATCAGACTACTCTGCCTACTTTATTTATGTATACGGTCATACAGGCAGTGGCGAAATATCCAAACCTTGCCAAATACGTAAACAATATATTGCCTCTGCAGATGACCAAAAAGATATGGACGAATTCGATATTATGGAAAGGATTCATTAAATACTGTACGGTGAGTAAAGAGATTATGTTAGGTGTACTGTTTGTTATAAATGGGATATATCTTCCCAATTGTATTTATTGGATTTCATTGAACAACATAGGACAACCAACCCAGTTCTTTCAACGTTCTACTTCAATTGCCAAAGGAGAAGTTAGAAGATGTTTTAAATCAAGAAGCTTCATTAAAATTACCATTAAAGCTATACGTCGAGCAAACGTGGAACGAGACTCAGAAGAGAAACAGAATGCCATATCTCGCTGGGTTGTTGGAGATAAACGGATAAATTGGCAGATTGCATAATATGAAGCTGATACAATTTAAATTACAAATATAATAAGAACTTAGAAGAGATGGACTTTGGGCGTTTCATTCCTTGTACAAATTTTTCTACTAAAAGTAATGTAATAAAATTGTAATGCTAATGTAAAATGCATTACTTTTTTTTTCCATTGTCATTTTTTAGCTGAAAAACGCAAGAGAATAGGGCTGAAACAGCATTGCCACCAAAGGTTTTGAAATTTCAATATTAATATTAATATGCCTTTAATAAATATAGAGCATTTTCACCTTTATCCAACCGAAATGCGTAACTGCTTTCATACATTGAAATTATAGTGGCTAATGGAGTAACGTTTGGGGGGGGACAAGACGCGTCGAATCAGAAATAGTTGTGCTTGGTTTTTTTGGCCTTACCTTATTTTTCCGATTGTTTGTGGTTTTAATTGGAGATCACGAAAAGTGAAACGAATCATAATAAACCGATTTTATCTTTGCAAACCAGTCATTGTCAATGTTAAATTAATAAGCACTCTCAAAATAGACAACTCGTCAAACGTAATAGTTTGGCTTTTGTGATGAGCCGTTGTAATGAGTCAAATGTGTAATTGGGGGTCTCTCTCTGTATGATATGCTTCATAAAAAGACTTAAAAGAATTGTCATTTGAATAAAAGCTTTGGTATGGTTCCTTATTGTGATACGGAGGACAAAAGTTATAAAATTTCAGAAAAAGCTTGATCACCAAATTTATGGAAACTCTTGGTTTACCGGTAGTTGAAACATTCTTATCATTTCTCTTTCTGAACGCGAAATTGTTATTAACGAAAGGGCCATTCGCTTCAATGTGGCTTGCGGAATGTTTATATGAGTTGGTGAACGTTAAATAATAAACAAGCAAACTGGTTTTAGCATAGGACTGAAATCGAATGCTTACAGAGATCAGCGGTGGATTACTACTCGTCTTGCAAATCCAGGAAGATTTTGCCTTTAACATGTAAAATGACCGTGATTCAGATGTCGTTTCTTAAGAGTGGTCGTTTTCTCAGCGTTCGTTCCGTAAGATGTGATTGACATTTATTACGAAATGCTTCTTTCTCACTCGTTGCGTAGTCCATAGTAATAGCGGTGGGTTTTAACAGCCCCAAACGAGGAAATAATCTTCCATGTGCATTACTCCTTGTCTTTATTGACTTCACTATATGAAGCAATGTTTATTGTTCGAATTTGCGCATGCACACACATAAAATGTAAATTTCGTGTAACTGTTTGGACTTGAACAGGTTAGCCACTCATCATCCAAGATAACATAAAAAAAATATTACGACCAAGAAACAAGAAAGGCAACACTATTGTTTTATCTCTAAACTTTACTCCTTAACCCTCAAAGAACAGGAATAGAGAGAACGAATGAGAGCTAAATTTGCGGGGATGGTTAGCAAATCTAATTCTAACCCCTAAAATCTGTTATCTAGTGCCACCATCGGATAATCTTTCTGTTGTGATTGTTCCTAAAATGCCAATGCTATGGGCTTATATCAGCCAAACCTGGCAACACATACACAATAGCTGCAAGTTCATTGGAGCGATAATGTCGTCATACCAAGCCACTCGATTTTCGAGAAATTCTCACATTCTCTCATACAACACGAGATACAAAAGCCTCTAACTATTTATCCCATCTCGATTTTTACAAATCTTACCAAACCGCAAAGCAGTCAAACGTTTTTTATTTTTTATTATCCGTTACAATGATTCGCGATCGTATCTGTCGGGCGTTAGAAAAGTACATCGATGGCTACCGTTCTCAAATTCAAACCCGTATCGATCCAAAAATCAAAAGTACTACAGAAGTCCTTGCCGACAAACTACCAGGTGCGATCATGGATTTTATGACCAACAGATTCGCAGAAGATCATAGCGCTATGGAAGGTATTCTCGACTTTGTCGCCACGGTTACCGACCGCATGCCAGCTAAATTCAAAGATAAGATTCACGAAAGCATCAGAGAAGTCGTCTACGAAGCGATGGACGGTATATCCGACAAGGTTACCGATGCCGTCCTCAATTCATCCAAAAACGCTATTCGCGAAGCAACTGGTCAAAGTGTGACTTTGATCGAAAAGGAAAAGATCATAGTGAAGGAAAAGAAAGAGAAACCAGATAAATCATTCCGCGAGCTAATTGATATCAGATTCGATCTTAGCTGGTTGTTTAAAGGAAAAGAAGGCATCGTTGGCAAGATTCTCGAACTACTTCGTGCTCCGATTAATCATGTTGGTTCTGAGATCCAAGATCATCTAGTTACTACGATACCCAAGCGTGTTGAGGAGCATCTTGCAGAAGTACTCCCCGATGCGGATAACGATGGACAATTGGACGGTTTCCGTGGAGCGGTCCTTGGTGTATTTGGTCAGAGAGATACAAAGAATAACGTGTTTGCTAAGATGATCATGAAGCTACCGGGGCTGGTTGAAAAAGTAGTGCATCCGGTTATTGAAGATCTTGAGGAGCACTTGTACCAGATTGTGGAGAAAGAATTAACAGAGGAATTGTTTGCTGAAGAAAAATGTAAGAAGGGGATTTCAGGTTTTCTCGATGATGATGATGATGACGACGATAAGGGTAAGAAAGGAGGCTTTTTCGGTTTCTTTAAGTAGTTATTTGAAATCGGATGAGCAGTGTTTTACAACACTGTCATCTGTCCGCTTTTTGATAAATTTTTATCATCATGTAAAGTGAATCGATCACACAACCGAATTTTGTATTATAATTCACGATTGATATATAAAAACAATCGAACGACGTCTCTCTTGATACGATCTGTCATGTAGATGAACTTTTAGTAAAGAATATAATAAAGAATATACTGGACAGTCTTAAAATTGTATGATAAAGTTCACTAGATTGTGACAGGCTGCGCATAAACGAACTAAAGCAAGTCATTTTTGCAAAAAAAGAGCTCGTAGTAGTAACGAGATGTAATGTTACATAAGACCCGTCCGGAAATCCTTCGGTTCTATCGGAGGTAGCCGTGTTATCCCAGTAATTTTGTTGCTCGCGTTTTAAATTTATCGTGAATATCCACGTGCATATACTCTTTTTAGTATATGAGTAACCCAGATGTGCATTTATGGATGTATCGCACAGCTTTTGCCCTACGATGTAAACGAGCATGAGTTCATATCGTAAGCGGGTTCTATTCATTCTACCTTTGATTTGTGCATTAGTTATTTTTACTTTACATGCATAAATGAACCATATGACTCGATTACATACTATGGAAGAGAAATCCCTGAATACCCAACTATGTAGGGATGAAGTAGCAAATAAGAAAGCCGCGAGTCTATTACTACATTTATACCTACAACTTTGGTAACCCACCACCCAAGTATTAAGCGCACGAATCACGCATAATTGGTACATGTATAGATTATAGTGGTCGTTTTATTAAACTTTTAATTTGTACTTTTAGCTTCCGATAATTTCGTATATTAACTAAAAATGAAGAGATGTTTTGAAACAGTTACGAGTCTAATGATGGCCAACACTAATGATAAAGTATAAATAATTCCAATCACGTCTTTTGAATACATTTATTGAACATCTGTTGATTGCTATTCGAAGTATTGTAGTACTAATAGCAGATAGAGCAAATGTGCTTTGACGGATCTAGTGCATATTATTATTGTCTTCTAGACTAAGTAAAAAGTCCGTCTATTCGTCTCTTGCCTGGTTAAAACGTTTGTCTATTCGTCTCTGAACCTTTCATTTTAATACTCGATGCGTTCATAATGACACTATTTCGACGAAATGCCGACAAGTAATTCTTGTTGTGCAACATTTGCATACTCCTCCAGATAATATTATTTACTATTGTAATATTCATAGTAATAGTAGAGTGTTCAATTAAATACAACAGATTCTGATCTACTGCCAAGCGTCAAACCTTTTGATATGATTTGGCTCGGAACCAACCTGCATTTTGTGTAAAACTTTAATTGTATCACCTCATATCAAAAAGTTCCAAATCGTTCCATCTCAATCTATGATTACTACAATGAACAAGATGAGAATTCTCATACGAGTTCCACAAACCTGTCAAAAAGACTCCTGTCGCGTGTTATTTTCAAAGGGCTTACTAGCTGGAAATAGCTGGGGCGTACGATGCTCGTCATAAATTGCGAATCACAATAATCGTCATTTGCATCTTAAATTTCGTGATACTCCCAAGTATAAGGGAAAGACCTTATCTCCAAATAAGGAATGATATGCACCGTTGGGTTTAGCCTATTTTGTAACAGGTCGGTTGAATAACACCCCGATCAGAAAGTCTGAGTAATCAACCTGCACAATCGAACACACGGAATCATTTGGCCCCATTTGGAATCATTGACGTTGAGAGGTTTTTGTGTTAAACAATCAATTACCCGCCGCCGACCCATATTATCGAGGATCAGTGAACCACATGTACAATTACATAGATGACAAATCCAATCGACTTTCAATTTGTAATATTCAAATATTAGCACCCGGTCATGTCTATATATATAACAGGACCGTTGACGTTCTAAAGTTCTCAGCGTCTCGTCATTTAATAACGAATAGTCATCAACCAATCAACATTCAACCATGTCTAAATCAAACATAGTAATCGTCGGCGGTGGATACGGAGGTGTCGCTGTTGCCCAAAAACTTGAAGCCGCGTTACACAAAACACATCGGATCATTTTAATCGAGCGTAAAACTCATTTCTGGCATTCAGTCGGGGCTCCACGAACAGTCGCTGTCAATGGTTTCGAATCTCAGCTTCTCATTCCATATGACCAACTCTTTCAAAACGGTGGGAAGGTCATCAATGCAGCTGCAGTTCAATTGAGTGACAATGAAGTAACATTAGACAAGGCTGTCGATGAATTTGGAGATAAAGTCCCATTCAAGTATGCTATAATTGCTACCGGAAGCGATTATGCTAAGCCTGCCAAGGTTGGGGGAAGGAACAAGGAAGATATAGTAAAAGAAATTGGTATTTACCGGGCTGCTGTGAAAAAAGCGAATAGAGTGTTAATCATTGGAGGAGGGGCTGTCGGAATCGGTATGTCGCTGTTGAAACATTAAAGCGTCAAACTCTATTGTGTCAACTTGGCTATCAACAGTTTAATCAATCGATTAATCTTTTTGTTTATTTTCTATACAGAGCTTGCCGGCGAAATAAAAACTACCTACAATGACAAAGATGTAACCGTTGTTCATTCACGTGAATTGCTCCTCGATGATAACTTGCCAAAGAAGTTCCGAAGCAGGGCTACCGCTCGTCTAAGAGCTCTAGGCGTAAAAATTATTCTAAACGAACGCGTGCAATTCTCAGCTTCCGACATAGACAATGGAGACAAAACAATTACCCTTGTCACGGACAAAGGCACCACAATCGAATCGGATGTTCAACTAGTGGCCACCGGAATTCACGTAAATTCTGGATTGGTCGGCACACTAAACTCTCAGTTAATAGAAGCCGATACTGGATTGGTTAGAGTCCGTCCTACGCTACAGCTCGAAGGATACGACCGTATCTTTGCCTTGGGAGACATTACCAATGTCAAAGAAACGAAAATGGCATTCAGAGCCGGACTTCAAGCGGACGTAGTTGCCAAAAACTTAGTCTCATTGATTAGCGAAAAGAAATTAATCGAGTACAAAACGGGGCCGCCAGCGATGTTTCTTAGTCTTGGTAAAACTGGTGGGGTGGGGTTGCTGCCTATGTTCGGTGGAGTGTTGGCTGGAAATTGGATGGTAAAATCGTTGAAGTCAAAGAATCTGTTTGTTAACAAGAATTGGAAAGACTTGACTGGTGGAACACCACCAGCTTTGGAATCATGATAGGATTTTATGTGTTACTATCTTTTCGTATTTTATGTATTATTATTGTTATTATTATTAATTAGCTAATGGTGGTTCTAATAAATGGAGTTAACGACATTTAAGTTTATTATTTCTGCGTATACAAATTTCATTGTCACAAAGTGTGCATAATATCCATCCATAAGCAATGAGTCGTCTCATGATAATAAGCAATCACACTCTTTGATTAGCATAACGTTCAGTCAAAGCTTATTTCCGGCAATGCGAATTGTACAAAAAACTGTGGCGGTTGCGTTGCTACATGTAAATCATTATTTACTTCGACAGCTGTTTGTAAATTCTGTCTTTAACGTCGATCCTAACATATTTTATTACTAATCGAATAATAAATAAATTTAATCCATCCAGTCAAGCCGAAATTTGTCGATCAATAGTAAAACATATGAAACATCCAACTTTTTATTATTATGAAGCTGCAGTACGATGAAGTGGCAGTAATATGTTACACATACATTTTTCATGTGATTACATACGTGTAACCTACATACGGAAGCACAGCTCCGGTATGATAAGCTGTGTAAATTTATCAGTATTTTATTCGAAAGCTGCAGTCAATCAGCTTCATATCAATTTTGTTGTTTGTTTAGTAGACAACGCCAATACAGATTTTTGAAAAATTGAATTTTTCATATGTTTTACTATTGATCAACAAATTTCGGCAAATACTTTTTGGTAGTGAGTGTAACTTCAAAATTGAGTAAAAAATATTGAAAATAAAATTTTTATTTAAATTAATCAGTTTTAATATTGAATTGCTTGCAATAAGCTAACCCTTACGACGAGGTTTCGTTATGCATTAATTCGTGCATCGGCTACGTTTTTTTAATAAATAGTAATCGCCCGTTTATTTCAAAAACACGCCGTTTCACGTCATGAAACGACGCATGCATTGCAGTTAATTAATATCAAAAGGTTAATTTATGTGATAAAATATTAATAATTAGAATGCCAACACATTACGTAAATTAGCTTCTACTTCACTTTCTATGATATATAATAATATTAAAAAACTTAAAAAATGGGGAATCTTTGATTATAGTCAATAGTTTTGACACTTTTTTTCCGACACTTTATGGTCGTACAGCATATTCTGCATATGGAGTGGCCATTCATCAAATCATCGTCGATTATAACTAACACAGATGGACTAATTTGACTAGCGTGTAAAAAAGTCGGAATTATTGACTATAATGAATCTATGGACCCTAAACCACGTTCTGGTAGACCTCGAAAGCTCTCTTCCAATCAACGTCGCGTCGTTATCTTGGTCAACTAGTCTCAAGTAACCAATACTCTACCTCTACCAAGCTTGCAAATATATTGAATAAGCATTATCCCGATCTTAATGTAACAAGTCGTACAGTTCTTTATGAACTTCACAATTTGCGGTGTCATTGCACACACCCAAAGACTGTGCCGACAAACACAAGAAATGCTGTCTAGATTTGCTACAACATATAAAAAACAAAACTGGAATAAAGTTATTTTTTCTGATGAGATTATCATACAAATGTTTAGAAATACCCAAAAGGATTATTATATATTTGGCGAACAACCTCTCCACCAAGCTATGGTAAAACATCCGTACAAACTTTATGCTCTGTATCAGAAATTTTAACTGAAACCTTGTTATAAAATTATTGGTAAGCATTAGGTTTTTCAACAAGATAATAACCTTAAACACACAGTCAAAGCAAGGAAAAAACTTCTTGCACAGCCGTGTCCAAAAATGTTGGATTGGCCATCAGATAGCCCAGATCTTAATCCGATCGAAATTTGTGGCAAATTTGATTGAAAATACAAATCAATGGACTTCTGGTAAGGTCACAGTAGAGATTTTGCGTGGAGAATTCAGAAAGAATGGGAAAATATTGAAAAAGCACATGTTAATTTGGCTCATAGCATGCCATCAAGAATGAAATAATTGAGAGAAATGGTAATAAAATAAGATATTAAGTAGCAATAAGTAAACCGTTTTGTTGTATGGTGGGGAACATATCTGTAAAGCTTAGGTGCACAGTTAATAAAACGTTATTCCGAAAACTTTTTTTGCGCACTGTAACTCAGTGACGTAAATTAATATTTAGCAATAATTATACATTTTAGAATAACTATTCGGCAGCAGCAATTTAGATATATGAAGTTCGAGTGAGTTTTACACCTTTTCCTGCATAGAATTTGGTCGAAGACTCCAACGGGATAATGGAATACAGTAACTCGTACAGTGGATATACCTATAGGGTCGAATAAATACGATGAAAACAACTAATAAACTCACGATTGGAATACTCAACTGGTGTTCACTATGATCTCTAATGTCTTCTCTAATAATGGATATTCGGTCTGGTAATCTCTAGCTTTTAGCATATGCTGAACTATTCGCGTTACAGCGCTGAAAGCTTAACCCGTTGTGCGAGCAATTTACGACAAAATTCCTAATACTACTATTATACCCAATAATAACGACTACAACACCGCTCATACAACATGTTTATTTTAATATAGGTTTATTACACGTATTAAAGCGACATGTTTAATCTAGGAAATTTTTTCACAAAAAATACCGGTTTTTGTTGGCTAAATTTTTAATAAATGTGCGGGTTATTGCTAGCAAGATCCTCAACATTGGTAATTTTTCTGACGTCACTGTTGGTGTGGGACCTTACCACTTACTTACAATGGACACACTATATAAAATTTCCTCCGAGAACGGGATCGCAAAACCAGATGACATATTTGATGAAAATGTTGGAGCTTCTCGCCGAACAGATTTTTAAAATGGAGGAGACTGTGCGAGCTCGTCCATCCGCAGTGAACCTCACGATTTCGAAACGGAGAGGAAAGATTCTAAAATACCTCTTCGGTGCTTCGATTCGCTGTGGGACAGGCAAAGGGGTAGAATCGATCAACAAACAGATAGCAGAAACAAGAGTAAGACCGATGACGAGATTGTTTTTGAATGTCCCAACCGATCAGGAATTCGAAAAATGCAGACAAGCCTGGGGCAATTGCTCCGAATTGGTTTCTATTGCAACTCTGTGTGGACAATGGAAACCCCAAAGACGCCGTGCTGTCTTGTATTCCCGGACAATCAATCTGAAAAGCAGGAAAACGGGGTGCCTCCCTGTGTCAAGTGTCAGTTGGTGATAAATTCACTGGCTCCTCGTATAATCCGCCCATTGTAGTCGAAATTGTGGACTCATCCAATTGTCCTCGTGTTGCAACTTCTCTTGGCCTTGACCTCCATATCGAAACTCCTCAAGATGCTATACATTATGTGAAAGATGATCTTTCTGTTATATTGAGGAAGTTAAAGAATATGGCTTCAATCATATCATTATCGTTGGGCAACGTTACTGTGGAATGCTTTTCCTAGATTGCTACGGTCGCGTGTTTGATTTGGACAATACTAATAACATATTATGGTTTGGCGGTGATTATTTCGAAAAGATGACAAATAATCGTGGTGTTTTATCGGTGCCATGGCACGTATTGGATGAAAAAACTCTATGAGTCCGAAAAATGTGTGTATACGTATTTTTGTTTATATTTTATTTTACTCTTTTATAAATATGGTTTTTTCAGCTTTACTAGAAAAACGCGCTCACGAATTGAAAGATGAGCTCGGTGAAGGTATGTGTATGTATTTTTGCATGAATTTTATTTTAATCTTTTATAACTGTGTTCTTTTCTTTAAGGTTTACCAGAAAATTACAGCCTTTTTGCCAATTTACGAAGAACAAGAAAAATAAGAAAAATAAGAAAAAACGTCATTGATTTGGTTATAGTAATTAGTATGCACATTGCAAATTTGTAATTATGTTAATACAAAACCTATAGTAATAGTCTCAAATGCTGGGAGGTCAAAATTCAATCCAAATAGTAACGGTGAAAGCATAGATAGTGATTTCGAATATTAATGTCATTGACCAACTCAACTCGATAATTACTGGTATAATCTATTTTTTCGGATAATCGTTGCGCATTATCAATCTCAATAAACTGTCTTTACATCGCTGGCTATGCATGTTTTACAAACTTATATGCTGCATCTCTGATTCGTAGATTTAAAAACGCATGACATCGCTCCGTGGTTATAATTATTTTTAGATTGAATTTTATTCATTTGCTATATTCACTTGATTTATATATTTATGCGCTATTTTCTGCATTAAAGGTACAGTGGGTGACCAAAAGTCTCCGACCACCCCTTAAAATTTTCGTTGATCATGCATAACTCCGTAAAGAAACATCA